ACACACACACACACACACACACACACACACACACACACACACACACACACACACACACACACACACACACACACACACACACACACATACACATGATGAGCAAAATCGAATGAATCTTCCACTAGAATATCGAAATATACACTTTTTTTTTTTTTCTCTCTCTCTTTCTTTCGCGCGTCCTCCCTTTCATGATCCATGGCCGCCATGCTCCTTCCTCCTCCTCCAGCCTCCATCCCCTATCCTCCTCCATCACGTAGCACATCTCAGCTTGCCGTGTCGGACAGGTATGTCGCGCGACACTGATTTTGTCGAATGGCCTTTCAGTTCCCCCCCCCCCCCCAGCTTACCGCGTCAGACCAGTTCCACTCCCCCCGCACAGCTTGCCCGTCGAACGAGTATGCCGCGACGCGGCAAGCTGTGGGGGGGGGGCGAACTGGAAGACCATTCGACAGGTATGCCTTGTCGGACCAGTTCCCCCCCCCTGGCACGGCTTGCGACGTCGGACCGGTAAACCGCCTCTGCTGACGCTTTTGCTCGCGCCTCTTCTTTTTCCTACGGGTCTGTGCGTCGGCCTCCGACCCCCCCCTGGTGGTGCTTTTGCCTGAGGGCCCGCGTCGTTTCGCCTCCAATTCCACTGCGCGCTGCCCTGTTCCCACCTAGCCCTCATCCCCACGTCGATTCCACTGCCCTATTGGCTCCCTCCTGCAATTTCCCTTGGGCCCGCGACCGACCGTGTCTCGAGCCCTTTGTATCTTTTAGTGGTATAGATATATATATACGGAGACCCTTAAGCTGACCCCCGAACTTTCGGGCGTTCGGGTCCCCGTATGAGGCCTGAACTTGAAGGGGTTCGGACCCCTCAAAAACTTATTTTAATACCTAAATATTATTGTTTTTTTCTGATTTTTTGCGTGAGTTCTTTGTGATGTAAGGTATCTCCCTCTTAAGTTTGAAGTCATTCTGTTCAGCCAAAAAACCATGAAAAATCGGCAAAGACAGTGGTGTCAAGACTTGTTTGCCCACTCACTAATTTGTTTTCTCGTTTCACTTTTTGTTTCTCCTCCATTTCAGGGCATGAAAAAAAAATATATTTTTTCAAACTTTATTTGTATATTTTCTATCATGTAAGATACTCATATATAAATTTTCATCGCATTTTTCACAACCAAAACAAAATAAAAAATCGCTAAATGTGGCGATGTCAAAAACATGCTCGCCCACTCAATAATTTCATTATTGTTTTTTTTTCCTTCTAATTTTTATTATTATTATTTATTTTTAGTATTTGATTTTTATTTCAAATTTGCTAAAGATTCTGGATGTAACGTTGAGGTAAATGTTGTTTAGTTTATTCTTATGCATAACATATATTTGTTTTATATTTTTTGGATCTATTTTTTTTTTTTTTTTTTTTTTTGTCTGCGTTTGGCCGAATGACCGAACGCGTCGAGAGGGGGTGCCGAACGTTCGAGCGTTCGGCCCATCCCTGTATATATATATATATCGTCACAAATAGAACTGCCCGGTAAACCGTAGGCAGAGAGAGAGAAGAGGACAACAAACGAGGGGCTGTGACAAACTGTTTCGTCGGAGTTTCACCGACTCATCAGGAGGCTGAAATATATATATAGTGTTCAGTTTGTTTATTTTCTGTTTTTTTTAATAATTATTTTTATTTTTTTTATTTTTGTTACCCATACGTACGGAGGTCCTCGGGCAGACCTCTGTACGTACGGGCGTTCGGAGTCCCGTGTACAGGGTTCGAATGCGACGTCGGTCGGGCCTCGCCAAAAATTATTTCGGGGCCTAAAAATGTATATTTTTTTATGGATTGTTTTTTATGAGTTCATTATGATGTGAGGTACATGTCTATAAATTTTCAACTCATTTGACTCATCCAAATAAGAAAATCGCCAAAGATGGCGGTGTCAAAACGTGCTCGGCCACGTTTTGTTTCGCTTTTTTCTTTCTGATTTCACTTTAGTTCGGGTTCTGAACAATTTTATTATTTTTTGAAACTTTTTTACTTGGTTTTGCATTATGTGAAGCACAAATCTGTAAATTTTCAAGGCATTCAACTATGCCAAGACAAAATGAAAAATCGCCAAAGATGGCGATGTCGAAAATGTGCTCGCGCACTGACTAAATTGTTTTTTTTTTTTTTTTTTAATTAGTATTTGTTTTGCATATTTTATTTTAAATTTAAATTTGGTAAGGAATTTGGATGTAATGCTCAGGCAAATCTTTTTTAATTTATTTTTCTTCATAACATATTTGTTTTCCAGATTATTTTGAGTTTTTTTTTTTTTTTTTTGGGTCCGCGTTTGACCCGAACCGCCGAACGCAT